GTCCCCCTCTGGGGGCCCCCGTGGATTCTCTCTCGGTTGTTCGTCTATGGTGGCCCCAGTGGGCTCCGGCAAAGGAGACCTCCGACTTCGGGCCCCCGCTGGTTTTCTCGTCGGGGGCCCCCATGGGTTTCCTTAAAGGTAGTTCCCTGTTGGGGGACCTCTTCGTGTTTCAAAGAGAGAGCAAGAAACAGTGCAGACTGCGTGGGTGTTGAGCTGCAGAGCTACCTAGCCACGGAGCGTTCGTGTCCTCCCGACCTACTTTCTCCTATCCACACCCTTCTCTACTGCGAACCGCGTTTAAGTACGCAGCGTCTTCGCCGCGTGAAATATGTTTAGACCACAGTGCAGCGCCAGTGCGAGTGCCGCTGCTGTCCCGATGACTGCTGCACGCTGCACCGGCTACTGCTCCTCGTGCTGCTCCGGCTGCCTCTGAAAGAACAGCCGCGGCTCTTTCAGAGGCGTCGCTGACGCTTGCTGCTGCTGTAGCGGCATATATTGCCGCAGCTGGCTCAGCTGCTGTTGCAGTTCGACGCCGCATCGCTGCAGCAGATACGTTGAGCTGAAAGTATCTTGTTTAGCTGCGTTTGCTGTCGTGTGGTGTCTGCAGACATCGACGAGCTTGGGACAGTCCGGAAGCAATTTGCAATGAAGTACGGAGACGTTTTCGTAGAAAGCGCTGTGAAGAACGCAAAACAAGAGGTGCATTTTAAGGTAAATTTCACACAACCCTTGTCGCTTTCCATCGCAAGCAAAAGTACGATCGCAGGCCAGACACACCACACAGCTTCAACACTGAAAGGCTTTTGCAGTGAAGCATCTTATTGGATGTTGAGTTATTATAAATTCTGTTCTCCGCTGTCTACGCAGCTCGTGCATGCGCTTTCTCTCGCCCCTCCCCCGGAATTCGACATTCAACAACTCCTCTACGGGATCGCAGAGGAGTATTGTATATCGGACTGGAAACCGAGCATACCCTTGGTCCGCCGCCTTGCGTCACAGTAAAATGAAAAGTGTTTGTTTTCCCCTGTATGCTGATCAGGCTTGTGTAAGTGTACTGAACAATGTGCTCATATTACTGCAGCTGTGTGTAAGCCCGAGCAACCATAGTAGTTCGCTCTTTGCATTCTTTTGCATGTGCAGGAGGCCAATCAGGCCTGCAACTTCATTCCGCGGGTAAAGCGTCCGACATTCCCTCTCTGTTTCGCCCTAAGCATTTGTTCAAACCAACAAAGGAGATAAATTAAAATACAGAGTGCTTCAGATGCTTCTGATTGCTTGGCAGGCCTCCAGGCAACAGCGCGTTGCTGCACAGGAGGTTGGAAGCATCACATGCCTCAGTCTTGCGCTTTCTTCGGTTTGTTTGCTTTCTGGAAGGTGCCGTGTTTTGTGTTTTTGATCATCAGTTGAACGAATACGAACGGTTTCTCTGATGCATATGTTATCTCAGCCGTCGTTGGCGTCGAAGCAAATGGGTTCCTCGTTCCTGAGTCTCCCGCCTTTTCCAGAGGTCAGCAATGCTCACGAAGCTCACCTGCGCGGGGCTGTTCGTATCTCAGTTCAAGTTGCTGTGCTTCGAGATTTCCGTATGCAGCGGTTCGCGCAGCCGCTGCTAAAGGAACCCTTCTGCATGCACCTGTTTGTGAGCGATGCAGCCCCAGCTCCACAACCAGCGCGTGCAGCAACATCAGCAACAGCCGAATGCTCAGCCGCAGCAGCAACCACCACGACAGCTCCAACAGCAACGAGAGGCGACTACTGCGCCCGCTCGAAAGAGCAACAGCAAGGAAAGCCAAGGGAGGCCCCCGACAGTCGACGCGGATACCGAGAACAGCCTCCCCAATAAGATTTCAGCGGCAGGTTCCTCTCGCCACAGCGCCTCCGCCGAAGAGAAAAGAGAAAACAGCACAAACTGTCACTCGGAGGCCCTCAGGCAACGGAAGCTGCCTACGGAGGAGTATAAGTTTCCGTCGCTGCAGCCTCCGCCTAACCCGCGCGACTTCTCTCCTGGTGAGCCTGCAGAACTGGTTAGCGTCGGTGCTATCAACTAGGCGTTACGTCACTCAGTACTACAACAATACCGCTACCTGTGTTGAGATAAAAACGGTCTGGGATATGAAAATCAGGCGGCCGTTTCGATACACAAGCGCAGCCACAAGAATTTTTGAGGGTTCGTCTCTGCGCTGCAGATGAGGCATCACTCGAAGGCCTCCCGGAGGCCCGCTTCAAGCCGAGACAAGACGCAAGATGCAGTAATAGCAGCAGTAGCAGCAGCAGCAACAGCAGCATTACTTGGATTCCTGATGACTGCAGGACGCCCATTCAGCAAGAGATTCCTCTCGGTTCCTGGCCTTCGCCAGAAAAAGCCCCATTTGTTCCTTCTCCTATCGCCGAGGATCTCGTATGCCTGCAAAGGAGGGAAGGAATTCAGTTTACCTCAAACCAGAGGAGCTGTAGCAACAGGAGAATGTTTGAGATAGGCTTCCCTCTCTCCAACTCGCATGAGAAGGAGGCCGTTGTACTGCGGACACCGATACCAGCGGCCGCCACACCTGCCTACTTTCCAATCTAGTGTCAGCTTTCTGTTGTGGTATCTATGCACGATTTCTCCTTGTGCAAGGAATGAAACGGCATATCGCAGAGACTTCGATGGCATGTCGACGGTGCAGGAGATCAATGGTCTCCGTGTACTGAGATGTCTTTTCTGCACGTCACTACTTATCTAACGGAACCAAACGACGTCATTTTGCTGCTTGTCTAGTATGCTGCACTGCATTTCCAAACACAAATACAGCACCAGCCGGGTTGCTTGCAGAAGCGTACAAAAGCAGATGAAAAAAGCTGCATCTGCAGCATTCCGCGTCCCGTAGCA